CCTTCAGCCCGTACAGATAGGTGCCTTTCTTTGGCGAGCCGTAGTGGAGGTAATAGTGCATCATGTCGTAGATGACGTAGCCACAGAGTCCCCCGACGAACACAGAGAGCCCCAGCACCTCGGGCAGCAGGAGCCGCAGGACGCCGTAGAAGAAGCCGATCACCAGTGAGGCCGGCACGGGAGGGAAGACCAGGCGGGAGCTGTCAAAGGGAGACTGGAAGCGGAGAAGGACGGTGGGACAGGCAGCTCCTAGCTCACCCCACGTCTCCCAGCCCCCAGAACATCCCTGCCAAGCACTGGGGATGTCCATTCAGGAAAAGCCGGTACCAAAGCAGCCCCTAGAAACCTTCCCCAAGAGATGTACCCGGTGGCAAGAGCAGCCCCTCGCCCGCACCACGGTGGCCGGGCAGCCGGTGGCTCTGGCTGGCAGGTCCCCGAGCTCCATGGGAACGTTCCCACCAGCGAAGCTAGAGGGAGCCCATGGATTTTTTGGTCTTCCCCTTTGCCCAACCGGAGCTTGCAGGTTTAATTCCAGCTCCTCCGAGCCCGTCTTGCAGCCCTCACCGGTATTAGGTAAGGGCCCCGCTTGGGGCGAAGATGCCACGAGTCACGTTGAACACGCACAAACAGGCTCTGCCTGAGCAAAGGCCACCGTTCCCACGGCCCAGCGGGCGCCGGTGGAGGCGTAAGCCGCGACTCACCTTGTGATGCTGCCCATGCAGCAAGAAATGCAGGGTGATGAGATAGTAGTTACTAGCGGGTGGCTTCATGTGGAAGACAAAGCGATGGATGAGGTACTCTAGCAGGGACCACAGGAACATCCCCAGGAGGAAGATGAAGGGGAAGTAGTATTTGTGGACAGGGATGGAGTACTCTACACAACGAGACGTGCAGCGGTCAGCAGGGCAGGCGGCATGCGGGTGCTCTTATCCATCGCCATCCTCCCATGGGCATCCAGGTGAAGCTTGGCTCTCCCTCCCGCTCACCTCTCGTCTGCCCCAAGCTTCCCCAGGGAGCTACCTTCCCGAGCACCGCTCCAAACCACTTTTTCCTTTGATTCCTGTTCATTTACACTCTTTAAGGAAACAGTCGGCTTCTTGCGGCTGCAAGGAGCCAGCGAGGGGGGGTCCTTGCATCCCAGATGCCAGTGGGGGCTTGGACACGCGCTCCAGGGACAGCCCTGTCCTTACAAAGCTGCTTTGCCCACCAGAACAAGGCAGGAGGGACCTTATCTGCGCAGGCAGTGCTCGTGACAGTTAAACAGTGTTGCTGGCCTTAGGGTTTTTTTTTTTATTTTCAGGGAAAAAGAATAGGTTTGTTGGCCACTTTCCCCCGCAGAGCATTTTTCAGCCACCTCCTCCTTTCGAGGCCGGCTGCCAGCCCTGCATCCTAGTTAGCGGTATTTGGATCCCCTGAAACTTAGCCATTTTTGGGGAGGGGGGAAGAAAAAAAAAAAGGGACAAACCCCTTGGCAGCAAGGTGCCAAATGCTGCAAGGTGCAGCGGGTGCTCTGCCCTACGGCCGGGCACAGCTGGCACCGGGTGGCACCTTGCAAAAAAAAAAAAAAAAAAAAAAGGGGACCTCGGAAAAAAAAAAAAAAACAAACCAAAAACCCCACCAAAAAAAAAAAACCCTAAATTTCATTTCTCTGTTTAAATAAAAAAAAAAAAAAAACCAAACCAAAAACCCAACCAAAAACAAAAAGCACAACAAAGAAGACAGCCTGCCCCAGCCACACTTGTTATTCCCGGGGGAGCAGACAGTGGGAGATTCAAGGGCAGGCGCTTGGGGCAAACAAGCCCCGCACTGTGCAACGCCTGCAGCGCTGAGAGCCGCGTTTGTTCGCCCGCTGCGCCGGCGAGCGGCCGTGGCCTGGGGTGGGTGTCAGCGGTGGGTGGCACGCACCGCAGCGACAGCAGAGCTGGGTTTTGGGGATGGAGGGGAGGGAGGCGAGAGGGAGTGGACTGTAGCCTGGGCCAGCGGGCTCTGTGCCTCTGTCGATGCCTCCAGGAGGACCTAATCGTGTGGGTGAGAGCAGGGGATGGAGATGGGTGAGCTCAGGCAGCTTCGTGCGGGGGACATGCTGGTGGCCGTGGGGACAGGGGCTCACCCGCTGCTCTTGCACGTGGCTTGTAGTGAGCATGCACAGGAGGAGGGACGGGGGAAGGATGCAGAGGATTCCCCCTGCCCATGGCTGTCCTGCCCCCGGACCCAGAGGGGAGGCAGGCCGCTGAGGCCAAAG